TTTTTGCCACTGAATCATTCACTATATATGTCCATGATGGGGTAATTTTGCTGTGAATCAAGAAATCTAGAATCATAGATGTGCTATCATTTGAAAATATTTCTAGTCCATTTCTTTTTGTGGTAAGCAATGTTATAGTCCTCTCTTCTTCCCTTTCTATTAACCAGAGGTACCCAGGAGTAACCTATGTTCATTAACTTTCTCAAAAAATGTTCGACCAATTTATCTTAACATGTTGGTGTAGATAATGTCAGCTTGATTTGACTGGAAGATGCTCAAGAAAAATAAATGTTTAGTGATCACCCTACTCTCTAATAAAGGATCACAAAATCAGGATGGACTCTCACAGAGTGAACTGGTAAAGGTTTTAAGTAAAATGTGGTGTTCTCTTCCTCACATAATACTATTTCTTCCACCCTTTTATGATGAAGATGACTAAAGTGTGAAGTTGGAAAAGGAATGAAATTTTGAGAGAAATGTGTTAAAGGATTTCTGTTTTGCATATGAAGCAGATTCACAAGCCACAGTTGCAAGATCTAATTGTTGAAAAAGGTTTTTTGCTTGCTAATCTGAAAGAAAGGGACAATGTGAAAATTTACTTTCCTTTCTGGACCAAGTACAACACACTGAGAACTGGAAGAGACTTTCATACGAAATCTCCTCCTTTGCCAGCTTCTGATAATTATCTCTCAATGCCATCCATCTGCAGGCTCTGGAACAAGTGGGATGCCCAAGAAGATCTCACCCAGCTCATCAGAAACTGCAGAAAATTATTCCTCTGCTCTTTAGAGTGAGTGCTTAAATGAGACATGCCTCCACACCACCACCACCTTTTTGGTACTAGGGTGACTTATAAATGGATAAGCTTATCAATGTTAAATCTTCTCTGTGCTGGCACAGTGGGTTAAAGCACAGTCACTTCAGCATGAGTTTGATCCCTGCCCTGGAGGTGATCAACAAGGCACAGCAGACCTCTCTTGACCTGCCTGCTGCTCCCTCAGCAATGTACTTCATCGATCTGCCTGTTTTGCTCCCCACTCTCTCTCTGTTGAATCCGCTCACGGCCCTTGCACCTCTGGCCTGTACCCCAGTTCTGTATGCATAAATAAATAAATCTTTAAAAAAAAAAAACTCAGTGACCATTATAATTCAGGATTACCTTTGATAAACTATTTGTTTGGTTTTAGATCAAAATTTTACTCATCTAAGTTCTCAGACTGTTTCTAGTTTGATCCAGTGTAAAGATGCATTCAAGAAAAGCCTGAAAGCTCCCCTCCCTTTCTGACTAAGGAAATAATCTGGAAGCTTATAGGGTGCAACACACACACCTATGATTGGTGGCTCTTCGTTCCTCCAGGGGCTTCTTCCAGTTCTCATGTTTCTATCACTGATGCCAACACTGTTTAAAACAAAACAAAAAAACAAAACTGAGGTTGATAAAAATTTTTAAGAGTTTATTTGAACAAAAAATAAGAACCAAAGATTTATTTTATAGGCTGAAGGAAACAGGAACAAGGAAATTATACAAAGCAAAAAAGAAAAAGAAAAAGAAAAAAAGGGGGGGTTAGCTCTTCTAAGTTATTTCCATTAAGGGATGGGAGGGGCCTACCAGGCCAAATTATTGACCACCTAAAATATTCATTTCTGAAAGAACAGAAACTATAATTAAGTCTGATTTTGATGACCTGGGGCTTAGAATTAAAGAATCCATTTGGAAGCTGCTGTCTTGTTTTGATCTATCTTAATTAACAAAATACTGCAAATCCAGAAAATTTTCCCAAGTGCTCTGTTAAATTAATTAGGCGAACAAGGCATTAGATAGTTGTGACTCTAATGCTGTTATAGACTCAATATATAAAAAAAATCTAAACCTGTAAATACTGTAAGTTTACAAAATTAAAATGTAAGTACAAATAGCCAACTAAAGTATAAGTTATGCCCAATCGATAATTTGCTTACTTTGCTTCTACATTGTCTTTATCAGTTAACCCTTGAATGACACAGGTTTCAACTGTTCAGTTACACTCACACTCGGATTTTTGTCTAGCAGCCAGTTCTGCATTCACAGATTCAACGAAGAGCCCAGACTATAAGGAACAATCAAATTTTTACTTGTAAAGTTGCTGCTGTAAAGTGGAGGAATGTTGGTACCACTAGCCCCACCTGCACCTTCTTGTGCTGGGCAAAGGTCAGCTCCAACAAAGTCAAATGTTTAAGTCTCTCCCCAAACTCTTCCAGTTTGACATATTTGTGTTAAACAGGAAAGCAAAATCTGGTAAAACTGGGGCAAAGAACAGCTATTTATTTAAGGCTTCAGGACTGCAACTCAGAACACACAGGCCAAGAAGTCCTTAAATCCTGTTTTTAAACTGTTTAGGAATGGGGAGAATTCATATACGTCATAAAACATAGTTTACATCAGGTCCACTATGCCTAGGAGGCTTAAAGACAAGTTTCAACTGGTGCAGTAATTCGCAAATTAGATCAAGTTAGTTAAGCAATGATTGGTCAAGTTCAAATCCTGGAGGTCTGGGTAGACAGGGCTTGCTTGAAGTTCTTCCCAGGGGTGTTCTGAGTTAACCTGAACATGCTGAAGTTTTCTTAAAATTTCTTGGGGTCTGACACTCAACAACCTCCCAACCTTGCTTTGACTTTGTCCAAATCAGATTACTACATTGTGTTTTCTTTCTCTTTTGTACTTCATGTCATTTGAATACTTCATGCTCATATAAACTCTTATAATTTTTAATATGCTTCTGTTTGTCTTTTAAAAATCTCCATACCACTTTTGTTGTTGTTGTTTTTCTGTAGTCTCCTTTGAGATTTAAGTTTCCAGTGCTGTCCATAGCCCTGTGTCTGGCATTCACAGCATTCCAAATGTAACTAGATGATTCTAATCCATTGTGGGATCAAAAATAAGATAGCTGCTGAGCTAGCTAAAATTGGGGATTGAATTTTTACAAAGTAAGTTAGTAATGGAAATGTAATTTATTTTGTATTAATATGCATATTTGAAAATTCTTAAATGAATAGATCTTTAAGCTTTTAAAAACTTAAAGAAATATTTGTGACTATGTAGGGTAATTTATGTTAACTAGACACTATATTGATCATTTTGTAAATAAATACAAATATCAAATCATTTAGTTATACACCTGAAACTAATATACTGCTATGTGTCAAGTGTATCTTAATAAAAGAAGAAATACTCCTGCTTTAACTCTGTTGGCTTTAAGAGATCTATTTGCATCAAGATAGAGATCCTTTCTTCTCTCTCTTTCTTCTCTCTGTTTGTGGCTCATTTTCCTATGGCTGAAATTTAAGCTGAAAAGAATTGCTGTGTAGATTAGACTATTTTATTCTACTTATGAAATTTTCTTGACACTTTATGGGCTAATAAGGGATTCTTCTATGCAGTAAACTTTTTTTGAAAGATGCTTTTTTTTTTTTTTTGGCATGGTCAAAACATGGGCATTGGGACTCCACAAACTTCAATACTAACCCCAGTTCTGACTTTTAGTGATATGTAATTTTAGCCATGATGCTTTAATTTACTAAGATTCAATAATCTCAGCTGTAAACTTGGACAACATCAGAATCTAATAAAACTGCTGTAAGAATTAAGTGACATATGTGTTAGTCATATTGCAAATAATAAATAGATGATACACAATAAGCAATAACAGAGATGCTTCTTACAATGATAGTGAGGTATTTTTATTGTAGTAGACATTTTTATACTCATAATTCAAATTTTGGTTGAAGGTTTTCTACCTTGCTTATATAAGTTAGCCTAGTATTGAATGAATATATAATCATGAGTCTGTAGTAACACTATGAGA